AATTATATAAAATAAATATGAGTAGTCAATATATAAAAGTTATAAAAATTTTAATATTAAATTAAACCCTTTAAAATAAATATATACTTGATTGATGACAATATATATATATATATATATATATATATATTTTTTATTTTAATAAATATAAAATAATCTATTAAATCTGAGTCACACACCCAGGATAAACCCGATAAGAAGGACCTACACACACGGCAAAGAATAATTGAAAAAATAGTTGGAAAGCAAAGCACAAGAGATTCACACTTTTGTTAATATATATTTAATTTGGAAGAATCACAGTCCAACAGGGATCGCAACTATTATCCTGCTTCTCTCATTATCTTCCTCTCCATTCTCTTTCCTTCGTTTGGGTGAGTTCCATTTTCAATTTTCAAAACCTTTACGCTGTACTTGCTGTCTATACATTTCCCTTCCAAAATTGTTCATAGGGGTTTTTCTTAACACCTTCAGACTGGACATCAAGACAGTTCAGATCTTGGATTCATCAATTGGTCCGACGTCTCTGGTAGTCTCTCTATCGTCAACTTCTAAGTCTCAAGTTAGTCTATTTCTATTATTTATTGTTTTGTTTTAATGTTATGTTTACCCTTACCAGTTACCCTGGTAGACTCTAAAATTTTAATTTCCAACATAACAATCCCAACACTAGATATTGTCTTGTTTCCTCAGAAGTTAGCCTTGTTTTGCTCGAGTCTCACTTCTCTCACGACCTTTATTTAAATCTTTTTTGGAACCAGTGTTAGATTGTTTTAACCTTCTTGCAAATTTTTAAAATCTTATTTGATCCTTATAGAATAAAGATATAATAATTAATGTCTTTCTTTAATTAATGTTTTTACTTTTTATGTTATGTAACAATACCGATACCAAAAATCATACAACGGAGTTCAAATCATCCGAGGGTTCTTTAATAAGAAAAAAGAAGCTTATTTTTTGTTCAGACTTTTCTTTTCCATCTCATAATCTGTATTTTCAGGGTTTTTTTTTATGCTATCAAACCAACTCATTTTTTTAACTGATCCCACACTACTTTTTAGTTTTCAATCTTCTTCTGCTTGAGAGAGAGTTTGAACTGGATTTAAATATAGATCTCACACCACTTTTCACCACTCTTTTTTTTTTTCCCTTTAAACAAATAAACTACACAAAAAATCACAGATCTCAATTCTTCTTTTAAAAACAGGGGTGGGGTTTCTCTCATTTTTTTTTTTGCACACTGTAAATTGGAACCATTCAAATTAAATCTGTATTTTTTAAAAAACTATCAAATCTAAATTTTCAAATTCAATTTAATAGTTCAGATCTACAGTGATTTCTTCTTCTCTACTCTCCATTACAGAAAAGAAAATTCAACTCCAAAACATGTATCTTCTTTTTTAAACATGTATTCCTCTGATCTTGTTTGTAGCTTTTCTTTCTCAACCATATAGATCGGGTAAATATTACTTTTGAAACTTTTGCATCTTCCAAAATTTATAGATGAATTCTTCTTAAACTACTCAACTATATCTATTTGTAAAACATCACATTCATTTTTAAATCATTGATACAGTAATTAAGTTGTAGTGTTTTGGAAAATTTGTAAATTTTAAAGTTAACTTATAAATTGTGTGTGAATACTAGTAAATAATAATATTTTAATTGTTATATATATATATATATAAAATTATTAATATTTTAATAAGATATTATTAAAATAAATATAATATTTTTTTAAAAATGGTAGTCTTACCAAAGTAAGTGATTAAGATGGCATTTCGGTCTTTTATATGGTCTTTTAATATTCTTATATAATACATATCTGTAACTTTTTTTGAAATTTTTGAAGATTAATTTTTTTTTGGTCAATTAATAATCAAAATTAATATTTGTTAACGGCAATGTGGACATTACATACATTTTCAAATGTTGCAGGAAACATTGCAGTAAAAAATTTAGAATTTTAGATGTTTATAGACTTGTAGTTTGAGGAAAAAATTACATTAACCCTAAAAATAATTTTTTTTTGCTTTAACCTTGTTAATTCACTTTATCAAATAATGTTTGTTTGTGATAATTATTAATAATAAATTTAACCTAAGAACCATCCTGCACGATATTTTAATTCAAAAGATTATTTCGATTTCTTTTAGTTAATTTTGCTTTAGTTAATTTTATATATTTATTGTAAGCCAATTAAATTATATTTATTGTACATGAAAGCGCGCCCATGTACACACTCTAATTGGTTACTTACACTAACAAATATTGAATAATAATATTTTCCCGAATACACGAGAAACAAATCTTGAAAAATTTTCGATCCTCATCAGAAAAGAAAAGATATTATTTGATTTTTTTAATAATTTCATATAAAGTTCTTTAAATTTTTTGGGTCATGTATATCATTACGAGATATGCTTTTCTAATGATAGATTCTTTGAAAGATGGAAAATCTTTAAGGTTTTCTGGGATTCAGTCACGTACAATTGGCAATGTAACTTTTGAAGATATATGGTTCTCTTTAGCTTTGCTGGCTCAAATGGCAGAGATTGTAATATCAGTTTTTGCAAAGTTGCTGAATATTTGGTAGATCCAGTGGTACGTCAAGGGAAATATTTGTTCTGTGCTAGCAAAATCTCAAAAACTCTTGAAACAGAGAAGCAAAATCTTGAATCAGCTCAATACAAAGTGCAGAATCGTTGCCAAGAAGCAATGGTTAAAGCTGAAAGAATTAATGATGCCGTTGAGAATTGGTTAGGTGAAGTGAAAATTCATATGGATGAGGTGCAAAACTTGGAAAACAAATGAAAGAAAACAACAATTGCTTTCATGGGAGGTGTACTAGCTATTGGAAGAGATATTGTTTGGGCAAACAGATGGCAAAGAAGATAGAAAACACAAAACAACTTGTTGAAAGGAATAATTTTGATCCCTTTTCTGTCCCTGGGGAAATTCCAGATATAAGTATTTTTTCTTCTAGAAATTTTGTGTATTTCCAGTCTACAAAGTTGGCTTCAGATGAACTTTTGGCAGGTCTCCAAGATGACGGTACCCACATGATTGGATTGTATGGAATGGGAGGCTCCGGCAAAACAACCTTGGTTAAAGAGGTTGGCAAAGAGGCCAAAAAATCAAACTCTTTGATCGAGTCATACTTGCTACCATCTCCCAAAATCCAGATAATAAAAGGATTCAAGATGAAATTGCAGACATGTTAGATTTGGAGTTGAAAGAACAAAGTGAAGCTGGAAGAGCAAGACGTTTGTCAATGAGATTGAGTAGTGGGGAAAGGATACTCATGATATTAGATGATGTGTGGGCTAAGATTGATTTAAAGGATATTGGTATTCCTTTTGAAGATTATCATGTGGGCTGCAAGGTCCTTCTTACTACTCGACTTCAGCGAGTATGCATTTTGATGAATTGTGAGAGGAAGATTCCATTGCATCTCTTATCTGAAGAGGAATCTTGGACATTGTTCAAAAAGCATGCCCGTATTGTAGACAAATCATTACATGGTGTGGCACAAGAAATTGTTGGGGAATGTAAAGGGCTTCCTATTGCAATTCAAGCTGTAGGAGCCTCTTTGAAAGAAAAGTTTATAGAAGAATGGAATGAAGCACTAGCAAGATTGAGGTTTTCAAAACCAATTGATGAGGAACCAGGTGTTAGAGATGCCTTTTCTTGTCTTAAGTTGAGCTATGATTATTTGAAGAGCCATGAAGCCAAGTCACTCTTTTTGATGTGCTCCATATATCCAGAAGATGCAGATATCTTTGTTGAAGATTTGTTTAGAATTGCAATTGGTTTAGGCATGTGTGAAGAATTGCGTTCACTTGAAGAGGTGAGAAATAAAGTGAATGCATGTATAAATAATCTTGTAGATTCTTGTTTGCTAATGTGGTCTAAGAGAAAGAAAGACCACTGAGAATGCATGACATAATTCGAGATGTAGCATTGTGGATATCATTCCAAGAAAATCGCACTATTCTAGTGAATCTTGAGAAGGATATGAAGGTGGAAATTATAAATGAATCGATAAAAGATTGTTATGCATTCACTTCTTGGTGTAATCAAACATCTCAATTTCCTCAAATATTAGGTGCTCCAAAACTTGAGATTTTGTTGTTTAACAACATAGGTGCGTGTGAATTATCAGAAGCAAATTTTAGAGGTATGGCATCACTCAAGGTAATGCAAATCAACTCTAGATATCATGAAGCAGTGGACTTGTCATCACTATCGTACTCTATGAATTTGCTAACTAATCTACAAACTTTGCGCTTGCAATGTTGTCGATTAGGTGATGATTTGTCGTGGGTGTTAGGCCTCAAAAGACTTGAAGTTCTTGACTTGAAAGAAAGTTCATTTAAGGAACTTCCGCAAGGATTAGAAGAGTTGAGAAAATTGAAGTTGTTGGTTTTTGTCTTGGATCAACGAGCAAAGTTTTTAAGATAGTGGAGAGATGCACACATCTGGAAGAGTTATATGCTTCACAAATCCGACTAAGTAGAACAACTTTAAAACTTGGTGGTGTTATTCCAAAAATGCCACTTTTCCCATATTACGGAGATATGAACTTGAAATTGGGAACTATCATGAAATTCATAGGCAACATTCTAAAGCCTTAACGGGCTGTCACTCTAAGGTTTTGTCCTTGGGAGAATTAAAAATCTTTGCTTTAACTCCATTTATTATGGATCTTTTACAACGAGCTGAAGCTGTTTGTTTAAATAAACTTGATGGAGGTTTCAAAAATATTGTTCCAGACATCGTTCAGGCTGTTCGAAGGATGAATGAGTTGATTAGCTTGTGGCTTCATTCTTTTTCAAATTTAGAATGTGTTGTTGATGCAACTTCTCATATTGTTGATTTGTTTCAAGCAGAAACTTTGTTTCCAAAGCTAATTAAGTTAAGGTTGGAGTCTTTGAGCAATTTGAAAAAAGTTTGCTGCGGTCCACCTTTGCTTCTCTTCTTCGAGAAATTGCAAGAATTGCATGTATCTCATTGTCCTATGTTAACATCACTCTTCCCAAAGTGTGTTGCCAGAGCTGTGTTGTCGTTACAGAAGCTAACTGTAAAAAGTTGTGGTGAATTGAAGAATATAATAGATGAGGATGGTGATGGTACTATCAATCAAATAATTTCAGCTTCAAACAATTCACATTCGGCGTTCTCACAATTGAAAAGTTTGACCATCCTTGATTGTCATAAGTTAGAATATGTATTCTTAAACTCTTGTGCTCAAGGCCTTGTGCAGTTAGAGGAGGTGTGCATTCAGGGGGCTTCTCAACTAAAATATGCTTTTGGCCAACATGAAGATGAACATCAAGAGTTTCAGATAGAGCTTCCTATTCTGAAATCACTTGAACTTCATGGCTTGAAAAATTTGATTAGCATTTTCCCAAAAAACTATCTTTCGAGTTGCCCATGTTTGAGGAAATTGCGTTGGGTGAGATGTCCAAAATTCAGAGCTTCATGTGTTAACATTATGGTTGGTTCAAATATAAATATGGTATGTATTTCCATGTGCAGTCCATTGTATTATTTGAAGGAATTTTCCTTGTTACATTTATAATATCTATGAAAATAATGCAAAAAAAGCAAGGTGACTATCTTATTTTGATTTGTTAAATGTTATAATTACAGGACAACCAGTTATACAGCAAGGTTTCAGCTCCATTATCGTTTCTAAAGTTAGAGAAACTTGAGGTTAAGGGTTGTAGTGTTGAAGACATTCTATTTCCACTTGAAAGGGATGTTTTTACTGAAACGAATTCCCAAAACAAGTTGATCTCACTCTTAGACACTCTGGAATTGGATAATATGCCTGAGCTAAAGTTTGTTTGGAGTGGTCCAATGGGAACAGTGAGCCTCCAAAATCTTAGAGAACTTAAAGTGAGAGGGTGCAACAATTTGAAGATGATTTTCTCCCCTGTAATTCTTAAAAGTATACAACTATTGGAGCGTCTTGTAATATCAGATTGCAATGAATTGGAGGAAATAATGTGTGGTATAGAGTAGGAGAGCAACAACAAGGCCCAATGGACGCTCAATCCGTGCAAGTATTCTTTCCAAATCTGAGAGAGCTTCAAGTTTGGAGATGTAGCAAGCTCAAATGCTTATTTTCAATAGCCATAGATTGGAACAATCATTTAAAGAATGTGTTACCCAACTTGAAATCCTTAACTTTGGAACAAGTGCCAAGTCTCCAGGATTTTTGCTACAGTTTACCTTTTCCAACAATCACCTTTTCCAGGTACTCACATATTTTTGTGGTCATTTTGCTTTCTTTATATTACTTTTCTTGCTACACTCCTTTTTTACATCTCAATTATTAGTGTGTGAAATCATTAGGAGTCGCACGTGTGTGTCTATCAATATTTGATTTAACTCCCAATTGGAGTTTCAAAATCCTAAAAACAACTATACTCATATATATATATATATATATATATAGTTTTTCTAATATATGTACCCATTTTTCAATTGTTTCTAAATATTTATGTGACAATTAATTCTCTATTTGATTCAAGGAAAATGGAAGAGGAGAAATTTTAAGGAGTCCAATTAAAAAAAAAAATTGACAAGCAGAGTTATAAAATTTTTATAGAAAAAATAGAAGGAAAAAAATATAAGAGGAAGGAGCAAGGAAACACAATTAAAAAACTTTAACCTCATTTTTTCATTTTATTTTTAATCTAAATCATTAAAATATTCACTACTTCCCTTCCATCTGCCTTCAACCTAACACAATTTTTTTTTATTTCAGAATTTGTTCTTCCACATTGTATAAACAATTTTTTTTTTTAGAATTTCTCACCCATTGTATTTTGAATATAAATAACAATTTTTAAGGTCCATTTGTTTAAAATTAATAAATAAATAATTTTTATGTGGTTTAGAGATTTTAAAAATAAATTTATTTTGTAATGATTGTAAAAATAGATATTATTTTATGTTTAGTTATACTAATAAAAATAATTATAACAAATTATATTTAACAACACATTTTATCTTAGAACAACACCTTGTACATATTAAAAATTTAAATTTTTAAACAGAATATTTTATTCTAAAATTTATAACTTTTGCCATTGCATATTAAAAAAAAAAAAACTTGTTTTATTTTAAAATTCTTATCCATGTACCGATACAAAAAATATAAATAATATCTTATTTTATTCCATAATCTTTACACTTGTAATTTAAAATTTAGATAACAATTTGTAATATTTTATATTTTTTTATAAGTTCATGCATACATATTGAGTTAGAAGTTTTTTTAAGAATGGGGGTATCATTACTTCAGAAAGAAAATTACAAAAGGACCCTGGCAGCGCAGTTGCACTGAATTAGAAATTATATTTTGGTAACGACTCCTTTTTTTTTTTAACAATTTGTTGTTCTTGTACATTTAAATTAAATTATTTTATAGTTTATGTAAATTAAATTTGTAATTTACGCCATCTTCCAACTATCTAAAAAGTAATAAAAAAAACCTGAAAAAAATGATAATTGGATACCATCTTCACACAATATTTAATTTCTTTTTCCTGTGCTTGTACCGTGTGGTAAAAAATAACAGTTGAATTATCAATTTTCAACAGCATTTGAATATATAATTTTTGTTAAAGGATTTAACTGGTAAGTAGACGACATTCCGTAGCTTTATTGAAAGGTACAACATGATTATTCAATTTTATTTTCCTGTGTTTTGCTGCTTCCCTTTTTTTTAGCAAACCATGCGACCATTATAACAACTGATTGATCAATTTTTAATTCCAAATTAATTTTTTTCTGAAGTAAAATTAGCATTTCCACCTATTAATTTTTTTAAAAGAAAAAAATATCGTACAAACAATTTTGTTATCACAAATTTTTAATACACACATATGAATATGTTAAAATTTTATAGAAAAAAAGAAACCAGGAGCACTTGTTGATTTTGTTATGGTGTTGGGTTGGTTCTTTGTATATGCAGCTGTTGGGTTCAAAACTAGAACGCTTGTGGTTAGGAAGTGAGCCTGAGCTATGGGTGACATGGAGAGCTCCTTTACAGATTTCGAACTTTGTCCATCTTCAAGACCTTAGACTGAGTGAATGTAAGGAATTGAAATCTCTATTTGGTGAGGGCTTCCGCGGAAGAAGCCTGCCAATGTTACAATATCTTAGAATAAGCAAGTGTGAGGAGTTGGAAGAAATTCTGAGAGCGGATAATGAATTCCAAACATGCTTTCCTAAATTGGATTACCTCAGAGTTGAGCATTGCAACAAGCTCAAGTATCTTTTCTCAATCTCCTCTCTCACTCCATTGCTTCCCCATTTAGAGACAATATACATATCTGAATGTGCAAAGTTAGAGGAGCTTTTTAGATGCAGCAGTGAAGACACCAGTAACAATGTCAATGAAATCGCGCTTCCAAACTTAACATTCATACATCTAGTGAAATTGCCAAGTCTTGTTGATGTCTGCAATGGGTTCAAGTTATACGCTGTGAACCTTGAACAAATTAGGATGCAAGAATGTCCAAAATTTTCTTCAATCATGGGGGCAACTGGGAGCATAGTCACTCAAATAAAGAGAAAGGTAAGTTGCATTCTTCATGTTGGTTTTGTTTGTTTCACATGGACGTCAAAAATGAAAATGAATGGTGCTTGAACACTGATCGTAGCATGTTAGAGCCTGGAACCACTTCTACCCTGTATCAAACACTTGAACAATGAATATATGTGATCAAAATTAATCATTATAGTAATGTTTAATTGTTAAATGTGTTTAGGCTCCCTTTCCTTCGTTAGTTCATTAATGAGCTTCATTTGTGTTTCCCATAGGAAGCAGAGCCTCGTGGGAACAACGACAGTCAAATGCTTGATCAACTCCGATATTTCTTCTTCCAGAATATTTGACTTTAATGAAATTAGGGTTGCAAAAATTAAGTGAACTAAGCTTCATATGCAGGGCTTTCAGTACTCCCTCCCAAAATTCAAGCTTCCAATATCTTAGATTTTTAACAGTGCATGGATGTGGAAAACTGAAATGCATCTTCTCCTCCTCTGTTTGGGGAAGCCTTCAACATCTGACACAGTTGGAAATTAGAGAATGTGAGCAAGTAGAGGAAATCATGCAAGAGTTGGAAGAAGCTCAGCATGTATCCCACATTTCTTTCCCAAAATTGCGGTGGATAACAGTGGAGGGGTGCAACAAGTTGAAATGCCTTTTCAGGACACCTACAATTGCAATGCTTCTTCCAGAACTAAGTCTCATAGAGGTATCAAAAGCTGCACAAATGGAGGAGCTCTTTTCGCATAATTATAATAGTGATGAAGACACTGTCACTACACAACATATTGTGTTTTCAAATCTCTACTCATTGAAACTTTCAAAATTGCCAAGCCTCGCTCACTTCTGCAAAGGACTCAACTTAAATGCTCCATACCTTGGTGATGTCCAGATAAATGAATGCCCAAAATTTGACTTTTCCTTCAAGGAACCCACTTCCATAGAAAGCACAGGTATATATTTATCATGCTCCCACAATTTCCTTATTCCTTTATAATCACTGTTAGTCTATTACTATATATATATACGTAAATGGATCATGTGTTAAAAAATTACGAATGGATCAAATATTACAAAAAATTACGCGTGGGCAAATGTTTGGTTACCTCTCACTTCATAGAGTTACTTGTTAATTTTATTTAGTCGTCTTGACATCAGCTTTTCTGTTTCCAAAACTTACTTCAATAAGCTTATAATTAACTTCATAATTTTAATAATTATAATTCACTTTAAGAAAATAGAAATGCATCATTTCTATTTTTCAGAAATTTATCCTATGTGCCCGAAAACATTTTTTCTTTCAATGCTGCTAATAAATATCATTAATTTAACACAATGAAAACAGAACAACATGTCAATTCCATGGAAAGTTCCCCATTGTTAAAATAATATGGATTGTTATGTTCCCTCTAAAATTATATACTCTTGAGATCAATCAAAACTCTGAATTTGAAAAGGTTTGGTTGAGAGCATGCAGTAACTTTGAAGTTTCCTTGCTAAAATGGTTGTGATGATCTGTTTTATGCCTTTATTTGATTTGTTAAAAAAGATGTGTACGTTGAAGTGTGAATTTGTGTTCATAAGCGAATGAAAACATTGCAGTACCACGAATCATTTGATGGAGAGCATATGATAAAGGAAAGAGCAGATGGCAGGAGCGAAAAGAAAGCAGTAATTATCATATGCATGAGGATGTTACTAGTTAGAAAGTTGTGTTTTTATTGTAAAAAAACCTGGTGATTTCAAATTCTAAAGTTTTCAGCAAGGCCTGTAAAACAGTGTATCTGGTAATCAAGTGGGGAATTTTCGAGGGGTATAGTGTGGATGGATATGAATGTGTGGATAACTGTTTTGGATTGTATTGACTGTGATGATAGAACTTATATTCCTTGTGAACACCATCTTCTTGAATATTACAAGCACAGTTTATTGAGCTTTTGTCTTTTGATAAGGTAACTCTCACCCTCCTCGTTTTTTGTGTGGCTATGGTTTATGATGAGAGATCTTGATTAATATTCCTATCCATTTGATTTCATTAGATTCCAACTAACCAAACGGCTATATCTTCCAAACCTAAGTGTCTCCAGAAGCTATTAGGTAATATGGCAGAAACAGGGGAGAGTAATATGGTATAACCAAAAAATTATTTTGGAGACCTTTTTTTGACAAATTAAATTCTTATCCATTATCTTGAGGGATTTTCATTTATTTAATTTGAATATGATGTTTTCACTAATTAAGAGAATTTTTCACTTGCTTTTGTTTAATAAGATCTATTTACCAATCAGAGTTGAGTCTAGTTGAAGAGGTTTATCCTCATAATGTAACGAAACAATGATCAAATCTCCAATAAGAGATATATCCATATTTAGTACTCAATAGTTTCTCCAATAGGATTATTTCCAATAAGAAAATAGCTGTGAGTTAGAAAAAAAATGATCTATACTTGTGTTGTATAGAGACATAAGCCCAATGCACTTTATTGAAAATTTTTTAAATAATGATGAGCATTTTTTTTAGGTCTACTTCATCATTTCATAACATCATTTTTCTTTGGAGTGTTAGTCTAAAAATAATGTATGGATTTAGGTAAGAGTGAGGTGAAAAGCAAATTGTTTGCTATTTGTAAATGAAAAAAGAAAACACCATAGAGATGGTGAGAATGATAAGTATGGAAGATGAAGAGGAGGCTAATAATTTTTTAAAGGCCTTTTGGTTGCAAGAATCCTAGTCAAAAACATTTTTTAGTCTTTAAAATAATGTACACTATGAAATATTAATTATGCTTTTTTTTAAATATTACCTTTATTTAAATACTTCTACAGATATTACTATCATAAAAAATCCTTTATTTGACAATTATTTTTGCATTATTTGATAGTTATAACTGTAAAGTAAGGTGGCATCATATATTAAAAGCTCCCTTACTTAACAATCATTAACCATCAAATAAGGGTAACTCTATTTGACTGTTATTTTGAAATAATTATTAAATATTTCCTTCTAAATTTAAAATTGGGCCAATTTCAAAAGACAATACTTGACAGTTATGTAATAATTTAGAAAAATAATTAATTTAAAATTTACAATAATGTAAGTTAAATATATTTTTATATATTTTGGGATAAAAAAGTTGATGGTGTAGTGGCAAGTATTTTTGAGATTAAGACTAAGGTGCCACGTTTGATTCCTGCAAAGGCAAGAGTGGGATTATTTTTCTTTTAACTTTTCAACTTTTATAAAATTATCATAAGGTCCTTGACCCATCAGATTTATTTCTTCCTCCTTTTGTGTTTTTACAGGAGCTAAGAGAATGAGATAGATCTGAGATTCCAGAACCTTCAGCCTTAAGTCTTCTTCAATTCAACTAGCGTTCTCCATCATTCCTCTTCAGTCTTCAACATCGTCAGCGTGAGTGTGCTAGAGAGCGTCGTCAGTCACTGCTGCACGACGTTCTCCTCTTCCCTGCTCTACTGCCATTCAGTTCAACCCCTGCACATTTGCTTGCGTTGGTTGCTGTCAGTTCTTTTTCTTTCTTCCTTCTCCGCCAGTCAGCTCGCTATCGTCGACAGGTGCGACAGCTCCGTCCACCATTGTTGTGAAGTTCTACTGTGAGTTTTCTTCCCCTGATCGTCTCTGTTCGCTGCTCATGTGTGCCACTGTTCTTTCTTCTACCTCCTTGCTTCTGGCTACCAGAAATAGCTCTTCTCTGTCCGAGCTACTGTGATTCAGCGTACACGTTTCCTTTCTTCTTTCCCTTTTCAGCGCGACAGATTTGTTCTTCCCCTTTGCCTGCTCTGCCATGTTTAATATAAAGATGTGCGAAAAGAAAAAATCTTGACAGGAGTTAAAAGGAGAAAAGCTTTAAAATTTGAGAATATTACAGATAAGTGTATAATATTTTAATTGATTTTTTCAATTAAAATTTTTTTTATTAAAATATTACGTTTTTACAAATATTTTAATAACAATAATATAATTATTGAATATTTATTTATTGAAATTAGTTTATTTTGAAAAATTATTTTTACTAAATTTGAAATATTATTTAATTAATTAAAATAAGTTTAGACTTTAATTATAATATTTTTATTTTATCAAATATTGGATTAATACAGAAAACGGTTCATGCAAGTTCAACATTAAAAATAAAAATTTTATTTAATAATGATTATTTTCTCGCATGTTTGAAAATAGATTTGAAAGGGATTTTATACAAAACACTGGTTGTTAACAGTAATTTCGTTAGCACTTGGTGCACCATAATTATGATTAGCTAGTTCAACTTTCGTGAGTATCGTATTCACGTTTGTTATTTGTGGGTCTTGTACCTGCATTTGTTTTATGGCTTTAAGTCGCATTTAGTTAGTATTACCCTCATGGCCTGTGTGTCCACATTTGTTTCATAGCTTAGGCTGCGTTTGATTACTTACTCTCGTGGACTGTGTATCCACATTTGTTTCGTAGCATATGTTGCGTTTGGTTATTCACCCTCGTGGACTGTGCGTTCACATTTTTGAATTGTTTTGATAAATTTCCAGAAAAAAATGAATGTTTAGTTGGTTATTTCATAATTAATGGTTTTCAATTAATAAATATTGTCATTATTATTTATCATTTAATTATTTTGATTTGTTAAGATCAAATGTTAAAGTTGTTTTATCATTATAGATTTAAATGTTTTTGTTATTGAAGTTATATAGATTTTTTATTCTAAGTTGACCAATTTTCTTACATTGAATTACTTTCTCATGTAATTTCTATAATTATTATATTTTATTCATTGTGATTCTACAAAATATTATGGTTAGAATGTTATTCACTTAAAAGTTATTTTGGCCTCAGATAGCGTAGTTGACAATATATGTCCTGCTTTCTAATGAGGGATTTTTGGTGAGCTTGGTGGAGATTAGTTCTGTAAATATTTCCTATTGATATAAATATGAATTTATAAATTATATCATGAAAAAATATGATTAGGTGCTTCACATTAGGGTCCTGATTCTCTTTGTTATATTGTCTATCTGTTGTTGTGGAGTAGAGCTTTGTATTGTTGGGTATAAATTGTAAAATTTTTGGTTTGGAGATTTCAGGAGATTCTACTTATAAGGGAGGTGCTGGCAAAATTTTTACAAAAAAAAAAAGGTTTGATATTTTGATTATATGAAAAATAAAATTTGATGTATATAATCAGGCTAATAGTAAGTCATATGCATTAATTTAGAATTTTTTTTAATCGAGGCCTTAAGGGACGTGTGTTTAAGTGCACATCCCGTGCTAGTCACTCTCATATTTTGGGGCGTGACAAGTTATTTCAAAAGTATTGCTAAATAAACTGACCCTATTTGACCCTTGTTTAAAACAAGGGTCAAATAAAGTGACCTTATTTGGCAGTTATTTAAATGACTGTCAAATAAAATAATCTTATTAATTTGAATTTACTCTTATTAATTTTTTATTTTTAATATTAAAAATGTGAAAATCAAATTAAAAATTGTTTCATCATAATATAGCAATAAACTACTATTAATCATGAAAAAATTACAATAACTAATACATATTAATATGAATATACTCTTCAATTCCACTAAATACAATACTTAGTTTCGAAACAAATTTATAAGAATACAACTCTTCAAGTTTTTCACCTGTACACCAAAAAATGTGTTTGAAGCAATAATCCCTTGCAATTAGCCTTCTTATGATTGATTCTTCATTTGACCTCAACTTTGATCAATGTTTGGCTTTGTTTTATCAGTCTTGGAGATCTATTGAGAATTTTAATGATTTGCACCAAGGATTGCAATATCAGTTACACAAAATATTATGGTTTTACATATTGCAATTCAAATCTAAGAAAAATTTTATCCATAGACATTGTCAATAGCATTATAAATAATATAAAGTCATATAATTCTAATATACATGATGACTTTCAATATTTTACTAATTTATTTGTGTTTTTAATTTAATTGAAAGTCATTTGTTTGAATTTATTAGCAAAAATATGATTAAGTGGATGACTATGTGTAAGATGGACATGGAAATGTGATTAGAAGTTAGTGGACTAATTCTAATATTAATTATGGGTTTTATATATGTAGTGAGGCCCAATTTATGGGCCTAAAGATGAAAATTTTAGAGTGCAAGTTCAATGAAGTAAATCTGAAAAGATAATATGCACAAGTCATATGTTTTCACTGTAATAAAGCACGATTTTAGTAAAACGCATAGTTTTGATCTTCAGTAAATTTTTAAGGTTTGGAGACCTCATTTTCAATCATTTCTCACTTCCAGCAGCTGCACAACGTCCAGGGAGAAGAAAACGAGCCAAAGGAAAGTTGGAGAAGCTTGTGTTTAATGGAAAATCAAGGGTTTCGCTCAAGATTGCTTTGATTAAGCTTTTCTACTCCTTCTTATGTTTTCCTTGCTATATATAGTGCTGATTTTTGCTATCATTAGAGCTATGTTTAGTTGATTTTCTCGCTATGAACTGATTTTGGATAAGAGCATGTTTGAACCATTTATTTAAGCTTGATGTTAGTTTTGATTTCTTAATCTTGTGCTTATTTGTCTACTTAGTGCTTGGCCACTATTGAGTGTGAATTTGGCAGTTTAGGTTTTATTTTGGAAGAAAAAAATCTAAATTAGATCATTAGATGAATGAGTACTGTGGGATTAGAATTTATTCTAATTTGCTAAGAGGATAGGAATATATCTATTGGACTCATATAATTATATAAGAGTGAGTTTGTACGTTTTTGCCTCTTAAATATTTGTGTTAAGAATAACATATTAATTCAAGAGAGTGTATAATTAATCAAAAGATAATTATTCCTATTAATTTTCTAGATTAACAAATTAATATTAAGTGAATTTATTTGGGTAATTACATGCTCTATGAATTGAAAAAGAGATTAGTCACTCTAGGTTGTCTTGATTATTTGTGATTATTG